TCCTCTGTTTTGTGACAAATATTGTATCATTTCCTCTGTATTGTGACAAATGTCGTATCATTTCCTTGGTATTGTGATAAATATCGTATCATTTCCTTTGTATTGTGAAAAATATCGTATCATTTCCTCTGTATTGTGACAAATATCCTATCATTTCCTTTGTATTTTGAAAAATATCGTATCATTTCCTCTGTATTGTGACAAATATCCTATCATTTCCTTTGTATTGTGATAAATATCGTATCTTTTCCTCTGTATTGTGAAAAATATCGTATCATTTCCTCTGTATAGTGACAAATATCGTATCATTTCCTCTGTATTGTGACAAATATCGTATCATTTCCTTTGTATTGTGATAAATATCGTATCATTTCCTTTGTATTGTGACAAATATCGTATCATTTCCTCTGTATAGTGACAAATATCGTGTCATTTCCTCTGTATTGTGAAAAATATCGTATCATTTCCTCTGTTTTGTGACAAATATCGTATCATTTCCTCTGTATTGTGACAAATATCGTATCATTTCCTTGGTATTGTGATAAATATCGTATCATTTCCTTTGTATTGTGAAAAATATCGTATCATTTCCTCTGTATTGTGACAAATATCGTATCATTTCCTCTGTATTGTGAAAAATATCATATCATTTCCTCTGTATTGTGACAAATATCGTAACATTTCCTCTGTATTGTGAAAAATATTGTAACATTTCCTCAGTATTGTGACAAATATCCTTTTGTTTCCTCTGTATTGTGACTAATATCGTGTCATTTCCTTTGTATTGTGATAAATATTGTGTCATTTCTTCTGTATTGTGATAAATATTGTCTCATTTCCTCTGTATTATGATAAATATCGTATCATTTCCTTTGTATTGTGATAAATATCGTATCATTTCCTTTGTATTGTGACAAATATCGTATCATTGCCTCTGTATAGTGACAAATATCGTGTCATTTCCTCTGTATTGTGAAAAATATCGTATAATTTCCTCTGTTTTGTGACAAATAATGTATCATTTCCTCTGTATTGTGACAAATATCGTATCATTTCCTTTGTATTGTGATAAATATCGTATCATTTCCTTTGTATTGTGAAAAATATCGTATCATTTCCTCTGTATTGTGACAAATATCCTATCATTTCCTTTGTATTGTGATAAATATCGTATCTTTTCCTCTGTATTGTGAAAAATATCGTATCATTTCCTCTGTATAGTGACAAATATCGTATCATTTCCTCTGTATTGTGACAAATATCGTATCATTTCCTTTGTATTGTGATAAATATCGTATCATTTCCTTTGTATTGTGACAAATATCGTATCATTTCCTCTGTATAGTGACAAATATCGTGTCATTTCCTCTGTATTGTGAAAAATATCGTATCATTTCCTCTGTTTTGTGACAAATATCGTATCATTTCCTCTGTATTGTGACAAATATCGTATCATTTCCTTGGTATTGTGATAAATATCGTATCATTTCCTTTGTATTGTGAAAAATATCGTATCATTTCCTCTGTATTGTGACAAATATCGTATCATTTCCTCTGTATTGTGAAAAATATCATATCATTTCCTCTGTATTGTGACAAATATCGTAACATTTCCTCTGTATTGTGAAAAATATTGTAACATTTCCTCAGTATTGTGACAAATATCCTGTTGTTTCCTCTGTATTGTGACTAATATCGTGTCATTTCCTTTGTATTGTGATAAATATTGTGTCATTTCTTCTGTATTGTGATAAATATTGTCTCATTTCCTCTGTATTATGATAAATATCGTACCGCCAGATTCTTGCCAACACGCACCCCTTCATCATTCCGTAGGAACTTATTGTAAAAGTCACTCTTGGACAGTCTAGGAGATATTTCTTTAGACCAGAGCTGGCTTTTGCATGACCTTCATCGCCACCCTTTAATTATTCTGTTCTTATTCTGCCTTTCCCGGGATCCATTGATTTCCCTCTTTCCTATTCATTTTTTCTCTGCCTCTCCTTACATTTTTTTGTTCTTTTCTCCTTTTAAACATAGTTTTAATAATTTTAGAAATTTTTTTTTGCTTAAATTATATGTATATATTTTTTTTGTGAAGTGCCTTGTGATTTTTATCTTGAGAGGTGCTATACAAAAAGATCTTCTTCTTCATATTTCATTGACCAAAATAAACCCCAAGTGGTCATAAATTTATGGCACTTTTATATCTATTAGCCACTAAACATCAACCAAAAAGCTGTAGTTTCACTAGAAACGAAGGCGTGGGGATTAAATAAACTTCTGAGTCTGAAGAAAATCCACCTGCTTTCATATTCTTGGAATTCAGCCCAACGTTTTCTTAGCAGAAATGAAAGCCATTTATCAAATAATGAGTTCAGCTTCAGACGAATCATAGCCGACTTAAATGAAAGAGATGGAGCGGCAGAAAAGTTAACCAGGAGAATGTTTATTCAGGGGAAGCAGGTCAGAAAATCCTCCTGTTAGCTTTCTGCTGAACCTTTAAAAAAGCATCCGACTGGGCGGGGGGAAGCTACATGACTCATATAACACCTGTGAAGGACAGTTCTGTTACAGCTCAAGTATTTTTGATTACACATGCTTGTATTGCCAAAATAAACCAAATCGTGTGCACGCTCCTGATAAGTACAGGAGGTACGCTGAACTGGAACCAATTCAGAGAAAGTGGAGAAATGGAAAATGGGTAAATCACATTCAAATGAAGCAGATTGGTCTGAGACTGTCGTGAATTATTTTTTTAAAGCCCACATACCAAGGATGCCCATAAATAAAACATGGCCTCCATAAAATATGCATAAATACACACACAGTTGAATGCTGGGTATTGACACAGACTGAACCAGGACCAGTAGTTAACAGCAGTTGGCCGTTCTCGTCGTTTATAATCGAGGGCCAATTCATTTGAACAGCAGTAAAGGCATTTATCAATTATTCAAGCAGCAGCTAAATGTGTCCTTAGCTGGCAAAGGTAGAAACAAATGCTCTCTCTCTGTGTGTGTGTCACACACACACACACACACATGCACAGTGTGACAAATCCACATCAGTCACACACAAAGCCGTCCCCGTTGCTATTGTTGGGGGATCGGCGGATCAAACGCTCCACAGAGCATTGCTCCAAATACAAGCATCAACTCGGGTCGCTGTGCTGTGTTCTGCTGCTCCAGGAGGACAACACGCAGGCTATTGTCACAAAGGTAATCACGCTGTAATTCATGTATCAACACCACTGCAAGACAGTCTATATAAAGTGTTAAAAGCAGGATTAGTTCTCTGGTTTGTGGTGTCTGATCTGAAAACCTGAATCCAGAACAGTTTAAATGCCTCCAGGCTGATGTAGGAGGCGGAGCGGCGGCCAAACTGTTGACAGGTCTTAATTATTTTCCTACATTCCCTCCACAGCCAAGCGTGTAAAAGGACATCATCCCTGATAAAACCGAAATATGCACAGGTGGATCGAACACTTCCAGTCATTCTGAGGGGAAATCTACTCCTTATTTTTGCATTTGTCATGATAAATCTCTCATTTTCTCTTTCTTCCTTAGTTCTTTTAAGCTGATACTAGAACTGCTATTCCAAAACACCATGTGCTGCTGCTGCTGCTGGAAAATCAGCTGACAAGAGGCACATTTTGCTGCGTGTGTATAGTCATGCTTTCACTCTCCAGTTTCTGTCGTGTCTTTTGCAAACTTTACAATCTGTAACCTACATTTAGAGTTTCCAAATCTCTATTTTACAGCTTTTCCCAGAATCTCCAGGGAGGACCTTTATTGTGGGGCAGGGAGAGAGGAGAGGGAAAGAAAAAGAATAACCATGGAGTCGGGTGTTGGCAGGGATGCTGGAGGTGGTTTACCAGGACTCTGTCTTCATTTTTTTAACCTCCAAAATAAATTATTTGTTTATTATCATCACCATAATTAGCCAGATGTTACTCTGGTGTTCTTTTTTTTTTGAGGAGCTTCTTATAAAAGGATCTCCAGGTTTGAAACATTTCATTGAGCTTGTAGGAGCTGAGTTATTGTGACCAGTCAGCCGCCTAGCTGAAACCCATGAACACACCCTAACCAGTGTGTGTGTGTGTGTGTGTGTGTGTGTGTGTGTGTGTGTGTGTGTGTGTGTGTGTGTGTGTGTGTGTGTGTGTGTGTGTGTGTGTGTGTGTGTGTGTGTGTGTGTGTGCGTGCGTGCGTGCGCGTCACAGAGGAAAAGTGTCAGCCCACAGAACTTCCCTGAGAAAAATCTGACTGTAAAATGACTAGCTGGTTCAAATCTCTCTGATTAGAGATTTGTTTGAGAATGACAGCAAAACCACAAGCTGCACCACCACCACCACCATCATCATCATCATCATCATCCTTCCGTATTGCTTTAATTTCAAAATCTTGCCATAAAAATCCCATCTGTGCTCAGAGTTTCGTTGAAAACAACCGAGACATAAATGTTATTGCACTCATCATTTGAAATCTACACCCGGTTCTCATATTTCCGTGTCTTTCTTTACTCTAACTTTGTAAAATATTTAAAGAAAATGACGAAATAAACACAAATCAGAAGGGGAAACGTCGGTGCAGCACATAAAAAGTTCCAAACAACCAAATCACCAACTCCCTCGGTGTGTAATTGTCATTTTAAATTACTGTTTTGGTTCTGATTAATCTGTCTGGGATCCCAAAAACCTCCTCAGAGAGAGGGACACCTCTTTATTCCATACGAGTGAGCAAGATTACGCACGAAATGCTAAGTGATGAGAAAATAAACCTGATGAAGTTTTTACGATTTATTTGTGAAGTTTCATGCATCTAGTGTTAAAAACTTCAAATGTACGTTAATAACGCGATTAAATGATTTGACTGAATCAGTTACAGCTTGTGCACTTGTCGCCTGGCAGCCATACTGAAGAATCCCGAGCCCCCGGGACTGGAGAAAGCTCGCTGAAGGAGGCTGCAAGCGCACAAAAGTTGAAATAAACAAAGAAATCTCACCTTCAGCTCATGAATGGATGTCCCTCGCAGTGGCTCAGCTGTTAATAATCCATTAGATGGGTCTCTCGCAGCAGTTCGGATGGTGCTCGTCTCAGAATAACAACGCCGAGCGCGACTTTTCTCTCTTGCGCTTCTTTTTTGTTACATGCCGCGCTCAAATCGGAATATCCATCGGAAATCCAGGCTACAAAGGGCGAAGGGAGGGGGAAAAGCGAGGTGTTACCCTTCAGGTGAAAAATGAACGGAGCGAACCGAGCGGGTGTCCCAGAACTAGCTACGGAGGAGATGTAAGCAGTCCCTTCCACAAAAGCCGACAGTCATCCTATTTGGAGAAGCTTAGACTGGAGCGGAGCGCAGCGAGCCCAGCTGTCACCCACCCGCTACACACACACACACACACACACACACACAGGGAGGAGCTACGACGGTGGAACGGGAGCTATTGTGTCAATGGGTGCCAGTTATGGACAACTGTATTTCTATTTTTACGCAGCAGGATTTCAGAGCAATGCGCTTTGGAGAGGGAGAGCGCGTGGAGCGCTTTTAAAAGTACTGAGGCATGAAAAAAGAAAATAAATACTTTTGTGTCTTTCGAAATTTCAAATAAGAGGAAATGTGCAGGGTTTCCAGGTCCAACGCGTCTAATTGCCTCTTCTCGCCCATGCAGGAGCGCACTCTCCTCCCTGGTGGTCACCCCTCCTCCTGGTCTGGAATTATAGCTCCAAATGATCCCTGACGTCACTCAGCTTTTTCGTCTATTTTTTAAAAAAGAGGGCATTAAATAAACTGTTTTAAAAACACTAAGAAAGTTGAAGGAGTTGCTTAAATTTGTGGTCCATTTGCAATCAGATGCCAGTGATGCGTGTCTCAAACAAGCTGCTCCTTCACTGGCAGACCTGGGCTTCAAAAGGCCAAAATAAACATCAATTTGACTGAATGGAAGTTGCAATGCTGCCACGAACGTGGAAGCGTAACTGCTTGCAGATGCTCTTAGACACACAACCTTATAAACAGCAAGAACTCGCCTATGTGGACAACAAAACTAATGGGTGTGAAGACAAAGAACTCTGGAGTAAATGAGTTTCCCTGTTTCTGCTACAGTGGAGTACAGGGCTCTCTCTCTCTCTCTCTTGGCCCAAAGCCAAACACTAAAGTGGTTCTTTACACTAATACACACCTGGTTTGTTGAGTTTTTATGTAAAATCCACACTGAGCAAGAGCATCATCATATGGAGATGTGCACAATATGATGATGACAACATCCTGAGAGTCTATTTGGGAGCAAACTACACTGAAAAAAATATTCTTGGTCCAAGTAAACACTAGATAATACTTTTTTCTTAGATCTAACTCAAATAGACTAAATCACAATTGCTATTTATAGTAAATGGCCTTCTAGAGTCCTAGTTCAATTCAATTCAATTTTATTTCTATAGCGCCAAATCACAACAAGAGTCGTCTCAAGGCACTTCACATAATAAACATTCCAATCCAGGTCGGTTCATTAAGCCAATCAGAAATAATGTTTCCTATATAAGGAACCCAGCAAATTGCATCAAGTCACTGACTAGTGTCAGTGACTTTACAGCAATCCTCATACTAAGCAAGCATGCAGCGACAGTGGAGAGGAAAACTACCTTTCAACAGGAAGAAACCTCCAGAGGATCCTGGCTCAGTATAAGCAGCCATCCTCCACGACTTACTGGGGATGGAGAAGACAGAGCAGACACACACACACACACACACACACACACACACACACACACACACACACACACACACACACACACACACACACACACACACACACACAACAAAGTAATGTGTCTATAGTTATATTGTGATTTCTTAGTAAATATTCTATTTGGTGAGAGATAAACTTTATTGTATTTATCCTAGTGGATCTATAATTAAACGGGTAAACTAGTAGTAGCACATCCAACGTCAAGGAAAGCAAAAAGTTATTATCAGGAGAGGGAGAATGTTTTAGTGGTTAGCAGCAGTGTGCTAGACGATGGCTCCCTCCATGAGGCCACCACAGCTCAGCAGAACATCACCGTAGATTCTTCTGGGGAGAAAAAACTAGAGAAAAAATAAAGTTAACAGCTGAAATTGCAGAAAATAATACAGTTAAAGAGCAGATTGTAAAAGAAAGTAGTAGAGTGTGGAAAGTGGTCAGTGTATCCTCCAGCAGTCTAAGCCTATAGCAGCACAACTACAGAGATAACTCTGGATAATCTATCCTATTTAGATGGAGGCATGTTGGAGGCAGGGCAAGGGAGAGCCGTCTTTACCGACTGTACACTCCACTTCCCTCTACTCCCCCACTTGTCCAGATTTAGGCTAACATCAGATTTTAACCATAGGCCCTATCAAATAAAAATGTTTAAAGCCTAGTCTTAAAAGTAGACAAGGTGTCTGCCTCACGGAATAAAGCTGGGAGCTGGTTCCACAGGAGAGGAGCCTGATAACTAAAAGATCTGCCTCCCATCCTAATTTTAGATATTCTGGGAACCACCAGTAAACCTGCAGTCTGAGAGCGAAGTGCTTGGTTAGGAACGTATGGAACAATCAGATCACTGATGTATGATGGAGCTTGATTATTAAGAGCTTTAAATGTGAGAAGAAGGATCTTAAAAGCTATTCTGAATTTAACAGGTAGCCAGTGTAGGGAAGCTAAGACAGGAGAGATATGATCTCTCTTTTTAATTCTCATCAGAACTTTAGCTGCAGCATTTTGGACAAGCTGAAGACTTTTCATTACATTCTGTGGACTTCCTGAGAGTAATGAATTACAGTTATCCAGTCTTGATGTAATAAATGCATGAACTAGTTTTTCAGCATCACTCCTGGAAAGGATGCTTCTAATCTTAGCAATATTCCAAAGGTGGAAAAAGCAAATCCTACAAACCTGTTTAACCTGGGATTTGAATGACATGTCCTGGTCAAAGATAACACCAAGGTTCCTTACTTTGTTCTCGGAGATTAATGTAATGCCATTCAGGTCAGGTGATTGACTAAGCAATTTCCTTTTCTGGATTTCTGGTCCAAAGATGAGAACTTCCGTCTTGTCTTGATTTAAAAGTAAAAAGTTTAGAGTCATCCAATTTTTTATGTCCTCAAAACAAGCCTGTAATCTACCCAACCGATTAGGTTCATCAGGGTTAAAGGATAAATATAACTGAGTATCGTCAGCATAACAGTTGAAGTTTATCCCATGCTGTCTAATGATTTTACCAATTGGGAACATATACTTAGTAAAAAGAATTGGTCCAAGCACTGAACCCTGTGGTACTCCACAAGTAACCCTGGAGTATGAAGATGATTTGTCATGTACATTTACAAAATGAAATCTGTCAGACAGGTAGGATTTAAACCAGCCTAACACTCCTTTGATCCCTACAACATGTTCAAGTCTTTCTAAAAGAACATTGTGATAAACTGTGTCAAAGGCAGCACTGAGATCTAACAAGACTAGAACAGACACAAGATTCTTATCTGAGGCCATGAGAATATCATTTGTAACTCTCAATAACGCAGTTTCAGTGCTGTGATACTCTCTAAAACCAGACTGAAATTCCTCAAACAGAGCATTGGTGTTTAAATGCTCACATACTTGGATGGCTACTATTTTCTCCAGGACTTTGGATAAAAATGGAAGGTTAGATATTGGTCTATAATTCTTTGGGTCATCTGGATCCAGAGAAGGCTTCTTAAGTGAAGGTTTGATTACAGCAACCTTAAAATCTTGTGGTACATATCCATTTACTAAGGATAGATTGACTATATCTAGAATGGGGGCAGTAACCAAAGGAAATGCTTCTTTAAATAATTTGGTTGGGATTGGATCCAAAATGCAAGTTGAAGGTTTAGATGAAGCTAATATTTTTGGTAACTCTGAAAGCTCAACTGGATCAAAATGGTTCAAGCACAGATGAGGTTCTACAGTCACCTCTGATGCTGCCTCACTTACTGAGGAAGAAGAAATCTCATTAGGGAGGATGCTAAAGATTTTGTTTCAAATAGAATTAATTTTACTTGTAAAAAATCCCATGAAGTCATTGCTGCTGAGGGCTAAGGGAATAGATGGCTCAGAGCTATGATTCTTTGTAAGTTTAGCAACTGTACTGAAAAGAAATTTAGGATTATGCTTATTCTCCTCAATTAATGCTGAGAAATAGGCAGTTCTAGTTTGTCGAAGCTTATTTTTTATAAAGCACAAGACTATTTTTCCGGGATAGGTAGGCCTCCTCATGGTGCGTAGAGCGCCATGTTCTCTCCAATTTCCTAGAGTTTTGTTTTAAGGCTCGTAAATGAGAATTAAACCAGGGAGCCAACTTCATGTCCCTAATTACCTTCTTTTTTAAAGGGGCAACATCATCTAATGCCACACGTAAAGAGGAATTAACATGATGAACTAAGGCATCAATTTGTGAGGGGCTAGAACTGAAAATATTGCCCACTGATACATGCCTCTGAGATGCTGAGGACAGTAAAGATGAAACAGTTGATTTAAAAGATACAACTGCGTTGTCAGATAGAGACCGACTATAGTGAAATTTACTTTCATGTCTCGAGAACTCAGTTATAAAAAACTCAAAGGTTATCAGAAAGTGGTCCGAGAGGACAGGATTATGTGGAAAGATCGTTATTTCCTCACACTCTATGCCATAAGTCAGCACAAGGTCTAATGTATGATGGCAGGAGTGGGTGAAGCTATGTATTCTTTGAGTTAAACCAATTGAGTCTAAGATATTACTAAAGGCCACATTGAGGCTATCATTTTCAATGTCCACATGAATATTAAAATCCCCCACTACAATGACCTTATCAGTATTTAGCACCAAATCAGATAAAAAATCAGAGATCTGATCCAAAAACTCAGAGTAAGGGCCTGGTGGACGATATAAAACTACAAACAAGAGTGGTTTTACAGTTTTGCAATCTGGATTAGGAAAACTAAGAATAAGATGTTCAAACGAACTGTAGCTATTAATTGGTAAGGGATTGATTAATAAGTCCGAATGAAAAATGGTTGCTACTCCTCCTCCTCGCCCTGTACTTCGAGCAATATGATGATTTTAATAATTTGAAGGAGTCGACTCGTTTAAGCTAACATAGTCCTCTTGCTGCAGCCAGGATTCTGTGAGAGAGAGCAAAGAGATCTGATTATCACAAATCAACTCATTAACTAACAAAGTCTCAGAAAAAATGGATCTAATGTTCAACAACCCACATTTAATTGTTCTAGTTTTCTGCTCAGTTGAATTTGTTCTAATATTTATGAGATTTCCATGATTTGCTTTATTAAGCCTGATATTTCATCTGTGTGATTTTGGCTGTGGGCAGGACACTGTCTCTATGGGGTAGTGGGTGGGTAACAGTACAGAAGCTGCAGAGGGGTGGGTTAAACTACGAC